TAAAGTCCCTTGAAGGATCACCCGTTCACTCTAGGTCTGTTCACAGAGAAATCAAACCAGTCAGAGTGAATTTTGAATTGAAATAGTTCGCTGACTGTTTCACGGAAACACTGATCTAGGATCAGTTCGATCAGTATCAGCTTTTCAAGGATTAGTAAACTATCTAGGTGGAGCTAGTTTAGTTTCCGGATGGATAGATCCGCAGATGAATCTTGCCAAATGACACCTTCCAACAATCCTAACCTCAACAAACATTATTTTGATTTTTCGATTTTAATTTTAGTCTCAAATTTAAGTTTTTTGGCTTCTTGCTGCTGAAGATGTCTGCCACGTTTATTCTAAAGGCAAAACAATCAAGAATCAACTAAAAAGTTTGGTCAAGAAAAATAGCTGACGGCTACCAATCGTATTCACCCCGCAACAATTAAACTCTTTACAACTCGCAACAATAATCACTATTTAAACTGTATCACAGTCAAACTTAGACTTAAAACTACCTAGTAACAGCGGCCTTATATATCCCTAAATCTATTCATATATAATCTAGAATACACGCGATAACTCTTCTTCTCGAAAATACCGCAAACATCCCGAATCTAAATTGGATTCTTGACATCCTGGCGGCGGCGTTCTGGATACCGTGGCGAAACCACACTGTAAAATGTAACACTGCCCTCCTCTTAAGGTTGATCGTCCCGATCAACTTCACGCCCATAATATTTCGTCAATCTGTCCAGATGTACAACTTTCGTCTTACTCCTGGTGTTGCGCTGGACTCGATAAACCAAATCATTGATCCTCTTCATTATTCTGTAGGGGCCTTCCCATGCTGAAGATAATTTCGGCGATACTCCTTTCTTTCTAGCTGGATTATACAGCCACACTAAATCACCTTCTTGAAATCCGGCTGAATTGGCTTTCAAGTCGTATCTGGTCTTCATTCGGTCACTGGCCAGCTGAATGTGCTCCCGGACAAAATCGTGTATTTCCAGAAGTCATGCCCTCACTTCGTCGGCATAATCTCGAATTTCTTTTCGTTCTTCTTCAGGTATTCAAAACATCAGATCGCAAGGTAACCTGAGTTCCCTTCCAAAAACGATTCTAGCTGGACTTTCACCTGTTGAATCGTGAACAGCTGCTCTGTAAGCCATTAAAAATAGAGGCAAATGTTTATCCCAATCTCGCTGGTTCTCTGCGACTACTTTTGTCAGGTGTCCCTCTATGGTCCTAATAAATCGGTCTGCCATGCCCTCAGACTGTGAATGTAAAGTTGTTGTCCTTGTCTTACGAATAACCATGATCTCACAAATTTTCTTAAAGATGGCAGATTCGAAGTTTCGTCCCTGATCTGAATGCAACTCTAGTGGCACACCATGACGACTGAAAACTTCGTCCACTAGCACCTGGGCAACAGTGATGGCTTCTTGATTGGGAATAGCGAAAACTTCTGGCCATTTACTGAAATAATCCATGATAACCAAGATGTATTTGTTACCACATTCTGACTCAGGGAAGAGTCCGGCAACATTTATCGCTACTCTTTCAAATGGGAGACCGACGTTGTACTGTTTCATGGGCCCCCGAGATCTAAGTTCAAGGCCCTTACTGATAGCACAGATGTCGCCTTTTTGGCACCAGTTTTTAACGTCTTCATGATAGTGGACCCAGTAAAAACGTTCTCGAATTTTATCCAAAGTCTTGTTAGCTCCAAAATGTGCCCCATGTATTTCTTCTAATACATCCCCTACTCGATCTTTTGGAATAACCAGTTGGCTCTTAGTGGATTTCTTATCGGCAATTTCTCAAACTCTATTAAGTCTACCATTTTCTACGGCCAGGGAGTTCCACTGAGCCCGCAACGCCTTGTAAATCAAACCACAGAAAATCAAACTCTTGTTCGACACTTCCCTCCATTCTGGCCTACATTCATCATTTTCTAGTAGAATTTGTCCGGCGTCCTGATCTGCTTCTTGATCTGCTCTCATTTGTTTGGTAGTCCATTTATCATCAACGATAAGACCCGTTCTTCTCACAGTCGGAGCAGTGTTTTTCTCATGCATCTCGATTCTTTGACAATGCTTGCAGTCTTTTTTGCATGGCCGTCTAGACAGAGCCTCAGCATTTTTGTGCAGGTTTCCAGGTTGATGTTTAATTTGGAAATCGTATTGCTGCAATTTCTCAATCCATCTAGCAAGCTGTCCTTCAGGAGTTTTCATTTCTAAAAGCCATTTTAGAGCTGCGTGATCCGTTCGAATTAGAAACTCACGCCCGTGAGGACACTTATGGAAATGGTCGACTGCTTTCACTATGGCAAGCAACTCTCTTCTGGTGACACAATAATTTCGTTCCGACTTTGATAAAATTCTGCTATAGTACTCTACGACATGCTCTTGTGAATTCTGGATTTGTGAAAGGACAGCTCCAATACTGGTGTTGCTGGCATCTGTGTTCAAAATCAACATGCCTTTCTGATCAGGATAGGACAACACTGGGCTTGCTCTTTTCAATTTTCTAAAAGCGGAATCGCATTCTTAGGTCCAATTGAATGTTGATATTTCTTCCGTTAATCGATGAAGCGGAGCAGCTATATTAGCGAATCCTTCTACAAATCTTCGATAATAAGAACATAATCCTAGAAAACTCCTTAGTTCATGTTTGTCGCGTGGTTTTGGCCAATCCCTGACAGCATATATCTTTCCTTCCATAACTTGTATACCATCTTCAGATACCACGTGGCCTAGGAATTCCACTTTCTTTTGAAATAGAAAACACTTATTTAAATTGAGTTTTAAGTTGGCATTCCGGAAGCGGTCAAAAACTTCTTTCAGGTTATTGAGATGTTCTTGGAAAGCATTTCCCATGATCATGACATCATCTAAATATACCAGACGATCTCTCCATGTAAGGCCTCACAAAACTAGATGCATCGGTCGCGCAAACGTAGCAGAAGCATTACACAATCCGAAAGGCATTACGTTGAACTGATATAACCCGCTTCCGGTACTGAAGGCAGTTTTGTCGTTGTCATCTTTGTGAATTGCCACTTGCCAGTATCCGCTCTTAAGATCCAAGTTGAAAACCCATTTGGAGCCCGATAGATTTGTTAATCTATCGTCTATCCTCGGAAGAGGGAAGCTTTCCTTCTTGGTGATGTCATTAAGCTTACGGTAGTCCACACAAAATCTAAGACTTCCATCTTTCTTTGTAACCAATACTACTGGCGCAGACCATGGACTATTTGACTCTTCAATAAATCCCTCTTGAAGCATCTTATCAATTTGGTTTTCCACTTCCTGTTGTTTAGCTACTGGCGTACATCGATGTGGTTGTCTAATTGGGTGTGCCAATCTAATATCAATTTTGTGTTGAGTTAAACTGGTCCGACCGGTTTGATTATCCATCACAAATACGTCTGCTTCTTTCAAGATGAAATCTGTGGCTTCCTGAAGTCTAACTGGATCGAGGGATTTCCATCATTTCTCCAAAGTCTGCATCAAGGTGTCTGTATCCAATTTCGGTTTTACAAAATGTAGCTTAGCCTCTTCGTATTTTTTTTCTTGTTGTAGTTTGGTCTCTTGAAGTTCCAACATTTTGCGCAGAAGTTCTTCAACTTTTTGTTCTTCCATTTTTGCTTGTTGTCTCGTAATAGGCATATACAGAATGTTCTAGAATCTCCCTCAAACTCTCTCCAGACATTTTTCTTAGTCTTAAATTGGAGCTCCAAACACGTCGGTGAAGTCACAAATTGGAGAACTTGCCTTATTCTGGAATATAATGTTCTAGAATTTTCTTGATATGTCTTATCTGAATGTCGATTGATATAGCAAACACGTCGGTGAAGTCAAAAATTTGATATCTAACTTGGTTTCCAAATAGAATTTTCTATAACTTACTTGAAGATTCACTATCATAGTCAAAATCGGGTATATAGTTACTTCCGGGGTAAGTTACACAATCGATTAAGCCTTTTTTTGTGATTGTCACTACTTACACTGACTTATTGTTCCAGTGTTCAATCAGTTTCCAAAATAGTGTCCACACTATTCTGCAATAGAATTTGACTTTGAAGTCCTCGAATTAAATCTCACTTCTGACACCAATGTCACGGCTCTGGGGTGCGTAACAGAAATCTTGGGTTCGTTTATTCCAAAATCGAAGTCCAATTAGCACAACAATAATTTATTCCACGTTACTACACACTCTGACACTAATTACTTCATAATTAACTCAACTTAACTATTTACAAATTTTACAATAATCACTATCTAAAACGTATCACAGCCAATCTTGAATCTCAAAACTACTAAGTGATACCGGCCTTTATATACCTACCCGTAATCCATTCCTGTGACATCCAGAATGAACGCGATAGTCCTTTTTCCCGAATAGCACTGTAAAATCTAGCCGTCCAATTCTGTACATCCTAGCGTTTCCGCCAAATTTTCGTGACAGTATCATCGTTTTGTTTACGTGTCTCCATGTTGTTTTGGGTGAGATGGCTGAATTATATTGGAAAATCCCGATATTTTGATTATTTTTTCGAAAAGTGTGAGAAAAACTGCTAATTCAAGTAATGTCTGCGTTTGCAGTGAACACCTGAATGCAATACTTGCACAAAAACCGTTGAAAATTGTGCCAAGAAAAGACATTGCGAATTAACGTCCAATGTCTCGTGCAAGCATTCCAAAAACTACTGATGGAATTTAATTTTTTTATTATGGCTAACTCGTTGATTGATTAACCAGTGATGGTGAAAGTTTCTATGTGGATTTTATGAGTTGGAGTTTTCGTGACGGGCTCGTTCACAAGCGATTATCCAGCTTAGCGAGATTTGGGCAAGGGTATGCCGTATTTCAGGAACCGTATTATACTTATGGCGTTTGTGTGTTTTCGCGTTACTTTGTTAAAAATTACAGTCAACTATTTTATTTTCCGTTTTTCATGTTTCAAACCATTGCTGTTTGAAACACTACTAGACGCATTTACTGTAATATACATACCATTAGAGCGGCCTGGGTATCCATAGGCCTGAACGGGCCAACATCTATGGATAAAGGTTTCTGAGCCCTCATCATGACAATGTACAGCAACTTTTTAATCGACTCGCTTTGATCCATCCAGTTACTCTCATATACTGAATTTACTACTTCACAACTCTAAAAAATTCGCTCATGACATAACGTCATAAGTAGTCCTCCAGATTCAACATTGGTGCACCCACGCGTTCAACCGCTTGTATCAATGTTGAGTTAGGTGGACTAAGCATGCCTACTCGTTACCTGCACTATAATTTCATTAGCACTCCAGGTAATAACACTCAAATTAATTACCAAAAGGGTCAAGTACAACAGGGAATATGGTATTTCAATTCTGCTTCTAACCTGAAATACCCAGAGGTTCATTAATAAAGTAGATAGGCATAAATATCACCTGATTTACCGAAACCACTTGGAGAAGAGCACCTGCTCCATTAATTGATTCCAAAGCAAATTCCAGTAATATTATATACTTAACAGCATCATTTAAAGTTTTGGTAAACCTGCGGAAAATATAAGCCATACATTTAATCAGAGACAAATAAGATAAGGTTAATTACTGGATCAAAAACTGATGATCCTTTATTAATCCTTTAACATAATCAATTTTTTCCTGCTCACTAATGAACTTTCTAGCAAAAGCATTCCTCAATTTCAGCTGCAATATGCGCAATTGCGATGTAGAAAATACCATCAAAGTTTGCAAAGGCGTTTGAACAGCACAATTAAACAAAAACCCATAAATTGCTATAAAAATATTATAAGCTGTGACGAGATTGTCGTTTTTTTCTTTATTAAAAGGAAACCAAAGTTCATACATGAAATGTTCTTGATATCCTTGAATGTATTTTCTGATTAAGTTTACTAGGATAAACCAAGATATTCCAAATCCGCTACAAAAGCATTGGCAAAAAGTTGCCAACTTATAATATTGTATTTGTTTATTGTATATTAACTTAACATCGTTTTCTTCAGTTTCCAATATTTTCTCTTCTCTCTCAATTACAGTGAAAAACATTTCAGGTATCTTGTTTTTCAAATACAGACACACTTTGTAATTAATCTCTAGAATAAGTATTACCAAAGTGATATAAGTGTACAAGGTAGCCAATTCATATTCGTTCAACATTTGTACCATACGTATTATCATGGAAATATTATAGGAAACATAAACAACTTGAATCAAAACTGAATAAACTGAGTAGAGTTTTCGAATGGTTGGGTCAGTTGATATAGGAATTTTCCATAATCCTGTTGGTATCATAAAAAATTTGGATACTTTATATAGGCTTCGTGCCATGTTAATTTATATTATTATCTATACTATGTAATATCGCTAGTTTCGGGTTTGCAAATGCATAGGCAAATGTGTGACAACTACCTAAAAAAAAAAGTTTAATTAGCTTGATTTCTCATGGATATCGATACGATAAATTTCACTATCACTGGAAGGTTTTTTTTTCCGAAATAGAAGATAATTTCAACATATTATGGAATATTTTTATGAATTCGATGTAAGTACCGCCATCTGTAAATTAACGCACGGACGATGGCTTTTTCTGGAATTAAAAACTTTCGCGTGAAGGCAATTTATCGATCTTGAAAAGTTTCTGCTGCTTTGGTGTTTTTTTTTTTTTTAATTGCAGATTTTTAGTTTTAAATGCTTTCCAAAAAAAAAAAAACTACTCTGTTGAATCCAACTAGGTATCTTTCGTCTACCATGATATATTATAGTATAAGAGTTGAGGAAAACCACCTATTTAAAATATTATTTCTTTGAATTTTCACTTTAAAAAAAAAACGTCTACTATAGAAAAAAAAAGGTAAATGTTGCAACCATGGGGCGGATTACGAACTCTCGATTCGAACCGAAACCGCCATGGATTTCGAACGCACTCCATGCGAATGCATCAGAATGCGTTCGAAATCCATGGCGGTTTCGGTTCGAATCGAGAGTTCGTAATCCGGCCCCATGTCTGCACTGTCAAGTTTAGAGTTGAACGGAGGGCGCGCCACAGAAAACGAAAGTACCGAAACTGAAGAGGATATAAGAGAATGGAAGACTAGACTAGAGAGAAGACGCTTGTCTGCCATTGTTCATTATTCAATTTTTGTTTTCATTTTGTATTAAACTAATTGTTCAATCCAATTTTTGACTAGTTTGTGTGTCATAAAGGATCATTCACAGGTTAGTTGATTAATTGTTATTTTGTTTTTGAGAGTTCAATTTATACAAGTACCATTTTTTAATTTTTATGTTTTTTTTAGTTGTTTATAACATTTTTCATAACCTGTGCATTGTTTATGTATTTAACAAAAAACGTTTCATGCTGTAAACAACACAGATAAAGAGTAAATTAAAACCTAGAAAAATTACGTGATGTCTTTTGTGCTGGGATTTGTTGAATTTACTAACATTTTCCTACCCTGACGAGCGAATATCCTAGCCCTAGCAAACAAATTAAAATAATCAATTTAGAGATATTGGCTAAAAAAAAACTATGGCTGAGTAGCTTCCCGTATGGAACCTCAGTACCTGCTGGTGAAACTGGCTAACTAACAAAAACTCTTCAGTATTGAATATAGATAGTGTTGATTGAATGTGGTATGTGGAATTAAAATTTTAGCACAAGAACAGGGACGGTACCTAATTTAAACTTTTATTGATTTAAATTATTGAATTAATGACTCACAATTATCATTAAAATGACACAGTATGTTTTGATTTTTGAGGAATGTTAGATCGAGTGTTTCTCTGCCGTTTTCTTTCCCCTCGAGAATTTCAGATCGAGAAAGGTAGGATTTACTTTGTTAATAAAGTAGACGTTTTACAAATTTTTCGTTTCTTTTACATATCACAGCTTCTCTTAAATTTCCCAAATATTTGCTATGTCGGGCGCATGTCCAGTAAATGAAATTCAGTAAGTTTCCACAACGTAGGTCCTATTTGTTTTTCATTTCGTTTTTCAGAAGATTTGCAGTTTAAAAGGTAATAAAAATTCACATCTTTCAATCTTACTGAACGAACCCGGGGTTGTTATAATACAGAGTCTTAGATCGCGGAAAAGTACGTTACCAAGTGAAAATAATACGAGGAGCAAACCAGCGGGTTTGAGTGAACCATTAATATCAATTCTCTTCACAACATAGCTGTAGAATTTTGACTCGATTGATATCTGTTGAAGAATTATGTAAAAAATTCTGAATTCAACTATCTACATAATGCGAAGTTGCGTGCGAAAGGGCAGTCGAAATTATTTACGTTTACGACCGGAGCGCGAGTATTCAGAAATTATTTGGAAAACGAATATTTATACTGGGTCAGGAAGTCATCCAAGACCACACACCAATCCACATATTATTTAGCTAGCGTTTGGCCAGTGGACCACATGTTGGACGGAGCTAATAGCCCAGTGCAAAATTAGGGCAATCGGTGGAAAAAATTCCTAAAAAGTTAAATTTTTTTTAAACGCTTTCTTTTCACTTTCTTGTCGAAAATCCCTGAGGATGGGGGATGAGTTCGAGGAGAGGGTGGGGGTTGATGGTACAATTTTTCAGTTTTTTGCTTAAACCTCGAAAACGATCAGTCCTATCGATTTTAATTCCCCACGGATACAGAAATATGCGAGAATTTGGCAACGCGTTCAGTTGCCAATCGCGTCGTGCTGTGTGTGCCGAGATCGTGACTTTAATTCCACCCCGCGTCATAATGGCTGAGAGGTGCTTGGTATGTGATGATCCTGTTGAGAGTGATAGGAGTGTTGTGCGTGAGAAAGGCATGGAAGGACTGTTTAAAGCCAGCATTGCAAGAAATGTTGGCATGAGCTCGGTTTTTGAGAACGAAACAAGTGGAATTACACCAGGCCACAATCTGTTGCTTCCGATTTAAAAAATGCAGAAGAAGTCAAGTCCCAAACCTCAGCAGGGAGCTGTCGACGATCCAAGGTTCCTACATTTCACTTCAAGACTAAGTGTTTGTTTTGCTGTGGTGCAATTAATAATGAGTTTTATCAAAAACAGAAATCAGCGGGAAAAGCGGGAGGCAGTATTTGAAGTGCGCAGTTTGGAGATGAAAAACAAAATTTTGAAAGCTGCATGTGAAAGAGACGTCGACTCGGGACAACGAGTATCAATACGAATTGGGACCGTCTGCGTTTGGGCTTACTTAAGTAGGTACTTCTATGGAGTTTGGCGTTGCTTCCTCTCTTTCGATTTCCTAAGAAATGTTTTGAACAATAAATTGACACTTTTATGCTTTGCCGACATTATTTTAATCAGATCTCTTCTGTTTATTTGGGTGTTTGAAATCGCCATGCATGATGCGACAACGTTGCTACTTTTGAATTATAAATATTTTGAACAGAGTCCTGGGAAACATAGAGCAAACCTAATGACTGAAAATGACGCTAGACGTTGGGTGGAAGAATTTGTGTCTTTGAATAATGATTAGGCCTCCTTGAAACAAAAATTGAGGATGCACTGTCATCCTTTGAAGCCCGTGGACCCACTGCTGCCTTGTGGGTGCGATACTTTCATATCGTATCCCTGATGAAGCAGTTCATAGAAGCCGAACGTTCAGGGAACTGGGAATTGCATCTGTGCTCAATACAGCAAATGTTGCCCTTCTTCCATGCAAGTGGCCACTTGCAGTATGCGTAGTGCGCGCATTTATATCTGCAGGATATGCGTTCTCTTCCCAATACCCATCCACAGACCTTTGACGATTTCACCAAATACTTCGCTGTGAGCAGATCAGGTTCGACCGATTCTGGAAACTGGTCTGATATGACAATAGAGGTCGCTTTAATGCGTAGCATGAAGACCCATGGGGGACTAACAAGTGGGCGAGGGATAACTGATTCTGTACTGGCGAGGTGGATTCGCGGAGCACCTACGTCAACAACAATTTGCTCTGTATTGGAAGTCTTCGCTGGCCTGCACTTTTTACAAGGGAGCATCATGTCGATTATCGAGTGTCTCGGCAGAAATGAAAAGTCCATCTCTTTTAGCAGCTACGGTACCACTTCTGCAATTTTCCGAAAGGGCAAGTCAACAATTGCTAAATTACTTACTACACAAGGGTGAAGCCAAACCTCCCTTCTCTACCATCGACTACAAGCTCTGCACTGCAACACTCATACAGAGTTTATTTTCAAGTTCAGGAATGGCTGGGCAACAAACTGGAACCCACTGATTTTGGTTGGATGAAAGGAGCAGATGGAGATCTTCAACTCTTGCCAACTTTAGATCAACCTGCCCCAACTGCCATTCTTTCAACAATATTCTGCAGCTGCACCAAAGGCTGTGGGGCCCGCTGTGGATGCCGCAAATACAACGGAAAAATAATATAACTTCAAACTTGAATGTTTAGCAGGTATCCTATGCTCGTCAATATGTGGGAACTGTGAGGGCGCGTGCACTAATGGCTTTCGAGTTGAACATGACAATTCAGCATATGAGGATGACCAGGAAGACTTGATAGACCCCCTATGACACCCTTTAATAAACTGTTTGACTAATACTTAATTTATTGTAAATTTTATTTGAATAATCTACATTCAATCATCTTTTAGTTTTTTATACCTTGGACTTGTTATCACATAATAAATATTCTTTACACTTTAGCTATCAACTGCCTACTGTGCTGGGTTGGCACATTCATTCTAAGTTAATAATAATTAATTGATTCACGTTTATAAAATTGGCACATAAAGTATTAAACTATATTGAGGGAGCTGACTTAAAATCTACAACTACTACCGATTTTCATGTTTAATATTAAGGACTACACAAAAGTTCGACTACACTACCGGTGGTCTAACATCTTCAACCATAATGTCTCTCTCTCCAACTTATCACCTAAAATACATCCACTTCTAGTATATTCTTTTCGCGGTTTATTCAAATTTAAAATTTATAACACATATATCTATTTATCATTCTATTGAACACGACTGTAATTTAAATTTCATTGTTTAGTTTGAAGACTCGAATGCAGCATATGAAGACGACTAGGAAGACTTTATGAATGCCCCGTGACCCCCTATCTCCTCTAATGAAGTGTTAGCCCAATAAATTCATTGTCCTACGGTTTTGAATGCAAATAAAGCACTCCTACGACAAAAGTACATGGAACCATCTTTGTAGAAAATTTTGTTAGCTTTAATTGTCATCATATATAAAACAGAGTTGTGTTGGTTCTAGCACTTATAACTCGAGAACAGCTGGACTGATTTTTACAATTTCTGCTTTATTGGATTTTTCTTTGTCCCTTACAACATAATAAATCGAAAAAATCAAAAACAAAATACTTATTTTACTTATTTATGAAAAAAATTCACTAAGCCCGCATACGGCGCCATCTCTTATAACCGATACCAAGTTTACTGCCACATTTTTATTGCAAACTATTTTGTATACGGCGCCATCTTTGATACCTAGAACGAAGCTCGCCGTTGTGCGGTAATTTCATTGCAGGCTCAGGAACTGGAGCTATTCTGAACAGAACTATTCTACTATTCCGATCAGATAGAGTGGTGCAGAAAGACTAGATCAGATAGAATAGTGCAGATAGAGTAGAACAGATGGAGTAATGCAGTGCATGCAGTGCAGATAGAGTGAAACAGGGCTGCGCTGGAGATTTTTTTTGTTTTCTTTACTTTGAACATTCCTGTGTCTGAGTTTTTTTATTTGATGGTACACTTTACAAGAATAATGCCCACAAGCTGCCTTAAAAGGGATGATGTGAAATTTTAATTTAAGGTGACTTCTGATCTAGAGAGTAAACATTAATATTCTTCAACCAAAGCCAAATTCACCATCGAAAAAAACTGAATTTAATTCAGCTAATAGATAGGTACGTTAACACAACATTTAATAGGTATTTTATAATTCAGAGGCGGTACGAAGTTCGCCGGGTCAGTTAGTAGATTATAAAAATCGATAGGACTGATCGTTTTCGAGATTTAAGCGAAAAACTGGAAAATGGTGACTTTAACCCCCACCCCCTCATCGAGCTCACCTCCCATCCTCGGCGACTTTTGATATATGTCTACCCAAGTGTAGAGAATGCATTTAAAAAATTCCAACTTTTTTTCCAGTGATTTGCCCAATTTGAGATATAAGGGAAACACACTTTGACTGAATTTAAACTGGTCAAACTGTGCACAACTTAGGGATCTACCAAAACATGATCTCCAGCCATGGGAACTATGAAAGGAAGAAAGCGGTAACTGTAGATTCAGTGAAGATGAAAAACAGACACCTCACCATCTTCTACCTACTAAACTGCGATACCGATAGCCGTTTAGGGATGAAGAATCTGGAACATCCCAAAGTTAGAAGACATTTCATCTCTGAAATCCCTGGCCTAGATATCTTAGGATTCCTAAAGGACTTAGGACTAGAAGGGTTGCTTTGAGCAGGAAATATTAATTTCGCAGTAGAAGGATGGGTAAAACCAGCACCTCCAACATATACATTATCATTACACATAATGCGCGTATGTTCATGTTTGTTGTACCTACCTAAGTGAGCCTGTCAGTTTAAACTGTTGTTTAAAGTTGAGTAAAAGGAATAAATGATTAATTAATTTTGTAGTTTCAATATAAAGGTTTTTATTATTAATAGAGTTTCTAATGGACTCGTAGAATCCGTGAGAATCTGGTGTCAGAAGGAGCATTATTAAAGAGAGCAATAGTCAAGTTAAATTTATTGGTGAAATAATTGGGTAGATAACTACTACTTAATTATTCATCTTTTTAATTATTTGAGCTAATAAGGAAGATAATCGTCAAGATACCTAGCATATTGATTTGAGCTAATTGGTGAGAACAATAGGTGTACTTTTTTGACCTGAAATGCCGAAAGGCAGGAAGAAGAGGCCCGAAAACAAGAAGAACTAGACCGGCTTCAAAAAACAAGAAGATCGGAGATCAGAACGAAAACTAGAAAGGAAGATCGAATACAGAAAAATGAACAAAAGAAGAAAGCCAGACGGCAAAGAAAAAAAAAAAGAACAGTACCGGCTTGCAGCACTTTAACAACAACACGAAGTACGGAATACGAGCGAAAAACAAGAAGAGAAAGCCTTGGCAGAAAACGAATTATAGAAGTAGAGTACCGTGGAAGTTAGGAGTCTTCGTCAGGAAGTTGAAACTTTCCGCCAAGAAATGGAGAAGGATCAAAACAAAAGTAAAAGTTGGATTTTGATTCTAGATCAGGAAATGTCTGAGCTTCGCCTGCAACCACTTTCAAAAATAAATTACCACTATGTAATGGTCAGACATTGTACATTCGTCAGTTCGAGACTGTTGCAATGGCTTATGGTTGGAGGTCTGATGATATGGCTACAGACTTGATTGTAAGCATATTTCTAAACTTATTGACTCGAGCTAAATTCTAACATGTACATTTTAATAGGGCTCTAGGAGAGAGTGCTCTAGGGGATATCTAGATACTCAATGCGTACCTACTCTAAGAAACAGGACTCTGGGATCCCCAGGCTTTCTCCAGGCTTCACCCATCAAAACCAGAACAAAGCAGGTTAAATCAGTTACCATCGCAGTCAATGTGGTGTGTCCACATGCGAAAGCAGCTTAAGTCTACCTACACCTTCACCATACGGGAATTTATTTCCTTAATCTTTTCATTGTCATACCGACACTGATCGGGATACACCTACAGAAAAAGTTCTAGAATGTTTTCCCTGTAATAAAGAAGATTTTATTTGGCTAATGAGGAAAACCACCTATTCAAAATATTATTTCTTAAAATCTTAACTTTTAAAAAAAACGTTTACTGAATAAAAGTAAATGTTGCAACCATGTATGCGCCCTCAAGTTTAGGATTGAACGAGCGCGCCACAGAAAACGAAGGTACCGAAACCAAAGAGGATACAAGAGAATACGCAACTAGACTACAGAACGAGCTAGACTGGTCCCTTAGAAAACGTGTCGCGTGTCTGTAATTATTCATTATTCAATTTTCATTTCTATTTTGCATTAAAATTGATTGTTCAATCCAATTTGTTATTAGTGTGTGTGTAAGGAGCGTTCACAGGTTAGTGGATTAAATGTTATTTTGTTTTTGAGAGTTCAATTTATGCAAGTTCCTATTATTTTGTTCATTTTTATGTATTTTTTGTTTGTTTATAACATTTTTTTATAACATGTGCATTGTTTATGTATTTAATAAAAATCGTTTCATGCTGTAAACAACACAGATAAAGAGTAAATTAAAACCTAAGAAATTATGTGCTGTCTTTTTGTGTTGAGATTTTGATTTTTGGATTTAGAGCGTGTATTAGGACCTTGTTGAATTTACTAACATTTTCCTACCCTGACGAGAGAATATCCTAACAATTTGAAATAATCAATCTAGAGATATTGGCTCAAAAACAACTATAGCTTAGTAGCTTCCCATATGGGACCTCAGTACCTACTAGGAAACTGGCTAACTAACAAAAAAACTCTTCAGTATTGAATATAGGTAGTGTTGATTGAATGTAGTGTGTGTAATTGAAATTTTAGCACAAGAACAGGGACGGTACCTAATTTAATATTTTATTGACTTGAATTATTGACTCACAATTAATTATTAAAATGACACAGTATGTTACGATTTCTGAGGAATGTTAGATAGAGGGTTTCTCCGCCGTGCTATTTCCCCTCGTTAGTTCCAGGATGAGAACGGTACGATTCTTAATAATAAAGTAGACGTTTCACAAATTTTTCGTTTCTTTTACATATCACAACTTCCCTTAAATTTCCCTAATATTTGCTATGTGGGGCGCATGTACAATAAGTAAAATTGAGTAAGTTTCCACAACGTAGGTCCTATTTGTTTTTCATCTTCATTTTCAGAAGATTTGTTGTTTAAAAGTAATAAAAATTCTCATCGTTCAATCTAACTGAACGAACCCGGGTATGTTATACTACACTAAATTAACTGTTTTATTGTATTTCCTAACCCGAAGCTTTTCAGGAATTTCAAGGAAATCTAGGGAATAGTTTACCAAAACCAGCTAGGGACCACATGGCAGCAGAAAAATTGGAAAAGATAACTTTATTGTGTAAGAAAAAATACGAGGAAATTTTAGGTAAAAAATTAAAGTAGATTCCCAGGATTCCATGCAATAACTCAAAACTTGTCATTGAGCTAGAAGAACAAACATATCGACGATAACTCAACAACCCAGTCGTATTGAAAGAAATTTCAGATCCCTATTGATCATGTTTATAAATTAAATTTTGATCTGGTAAAATATAAAATTTTTTATACTTACAATATCTATCTTGAAATTATTTCCTCAGCGGTCTACTACGTAATAATGGATAATGAAGACAATAATGATATTAAAAATGCATCATCATACCTACAACAACGTATTAAACGTTGCTAACAAAATTTTACTGAAGTTTATATAACGTATAACTATATAAGTAAGTATTTTAAAAGTTAGGTATATGTAATTTCAGCTGCAGTATTTGTATGACAACATGCAACATGAAAATATTATAGTTAATTAGTGGATATTTTCCTATATCTATATTATTTGAAACAAATCTGGTACTTACGTGTATATACTAATTAATTATTACTGCCAAATATAAACTTTGTTTAGGTGTATTTTTGAATCATAACTGAAGCATAGGTATAGGCTGCTTTCATGGTCTAAAATGCGTGATATTAAATATACTTTCGACTTTTATCAAGAAAATTAACACAAAAAAAATGTTAATATAATAATTATACAGCATTTACAGAAAGAAAATAATATAATTGCACTAATTACTTTTAATGGATGTATTTGATCCGTTCTTTATTAAGAAGGTTTTTTTGTCTTTTAATAACTTTTTTATGTACCTATAGATACTTACTATTGCAGCTGCTTCAACATTAATAGGTCTAAAAGGGCCAATTGTTAAAGCTAGTGGTTTTTGTGCTCGCATCAACATAATGTACAATATTTTTTTTATTTCCTCACTTTGATCGATCCAATTGCTCTCGTAAACTGCACTGGCAATTTTAACACTCTTAAAAAAAAAGTATTTATGTTTGTAATTTTGAGGCTTTCTAAAGTTTTCTCAGATACCTATAAGGGTTTAGGAATAGGAAATCATTTTTTTTATTACCTGAATGTTCAATTCATTCGTGCTCCACGCCAATGCAACCATTTGAATAAGCACTACTGTTAGATGTAAGCAAGAAAATGCAATTTCAACAATATTTTTGGCCTACAAATTTTTATATCTATTGATTTTTTTACCCTATTAAACTTAAAATACGTTACCGTTATTATCCGCAGTAAAGCAGCAGCAACGTTCACTGAATTCAACACAAATTCCATAAAAATTACATTTTTTATTGAATTATTTAACGATGTCACAAATCTAGAAAAAAGTCACAAATTAGGGGTAAATACTTTTTGGTTCAGTTTTACGACAAATAAAAAGCCGGATATCTTTCATGCTTCATCAACACCAGAAAATAAATGGTTTATTATAATTTGATCACCTCAAGTATACCTACGCAGTACGAAAAATTCTAAATAAAATTTGAAAGACATTGATATTTGTATTTTTACGAAATTACATTGATGCAAACCGCTACTTCAAAAGGACCCGAACGCCAATATTCTGGAACTTGTTCCATTGTGTGAAGTTTATTATTAAGCATATTTACGTGATTTTGGAAATATCTCGATCAAATGCCTTTGTATAGGCGAAGTGCGCGTAGTTTGTAAGTACGTCAGTTTGAATAAGGGAATCGTTATTTGAAGTTAATTGAAAGCGCAGTTAGTGGATTGATTAAGCCAACCAATAAGAACAATAAGTGAACTGAAACAGTGGCTTCATAAGTTTCGACATGGAAAAACAAGTCCATATTCCATCTTGTTCGATTTGAAAATTAGACAAGAAACGAGAACTTAGACTTTCCCGCCAGTCTTTTATCGATAAAATCAAGTTTTAAAAAATACACGGCAGCAAACAGTCGAAATCGACAAAGTTAATCAATTGATTGTTGCTGGAAGTCATGAAAAATATCGAAGACTACAAACAAGAACAGGAAGCCCGAAGGCAAAAAAAAAAAAAATGAAGAAAGAGCCCGAAGACAAGAAGACCGGCACCGGCTTCAGGAAAATTTTCAATTATAGCAATGGATTTAAACCGTAATCTGTGAGGAACAAATCAGACGCAAGAAAATCCTGGAAAGGCTTCAAAGTTCAAGAATGCAATGGAAGAAGTACGTGAAGAAGATGAAACTGTTTATTAGGAAGCTGGAACTGTTCGTCAGATTAGAATTTTTCACCAAAAAATGGATGGTCTTCAGAACAGAATTAATAAGTTGCTTTGAGATCAGGAAATGTCTCAGCTTCGCCTAGAACCGATGAACCACCGCCATACGTTGGTTACAATCATCAATCAGTTATGTACTGTTGCAATGGCTGATGGTTGGAGCTCTGATGGCATAGGTACAGACTTGATTGTAGCATTCCGTGACCCTGCCATTCAAATATTGCCAAAAAGTTAAATGCGAAGCCACTTTCACGGGAAGTTATTCTACGCATAGTGAGAAGAAACCACTGATCTCAAAAATAAATGCATAAACAATCGTACGGCTTGATTGGCTAAACGCCTTCGCAGTGCCTTACTTTCGAACAACTGTTCTAAATTTTGAAATATCCTCCATTTTCATTGGCTGTATTTTGCGCACGCAAAGTACATGTATCTACTGCACATGTGAGCGTGTGCAATTGTTTACATTATGACCTCGTAAACTAGCAGCATTAGAAGCGTTCTTTGTTTTTGAGATCAGTGGGAGAGACCGTAGAGAAACATGGTGAAATATTACGATCTACGAGACCGAGCTAATATACAAAATGAGTTTATTTGGTTGAAAAATCAGCCTAGCATCTCAAAATTTGTCACTAAAAAGTTTGTACTGTCGAACCTGAAGGATCCAAATGTAAGCAGAAGCTATACAAACTATGAGATTTATAGGCATTTGGAGAACGATTTTGAGATCCGCGTTGGACCAGTACAACCCCAACAAGCTCACAATAACTAGATCTTTAGTGAAACTTTGGTAAACTGACAAGGAATCATACTGTCACAGCTCTGGGGTGCGTGACAGAAATCTTGGGTCCGTTTATTCCAAAAATCAAAGTCCAATTAACGCAACAATAATTTATTCCACGTTACTATACACTCTGACACTAATTACTTCAGCGTGGTGTTTCATTAATGAAGTGAACACGGTATCTGCTCCGAAATAGTGATCATTTCCAACGGCAGACTCCTAGGATTTCAATTTAGTTAAGATCATAGGCGATTATCAGGTACCCCACTTCTTTTTTCTGGATCCAAGTAGTTTCCTAGCCACTGCAGCACCTTATGAAAAAACCCTAAGGGCTTGTTGTTGAGCGGCAGCTTCAGGGGAAAGTGAGGAACTACTTGAATCCGGAAAAGTGGTGTTGGAAGTTGACAAGAAATGGGTTGTTCCCCATTACCACACCAAAACCCCCGGCTCCCGAAAAACTTCTCCAGCTTATATCTTGCAAATGCGAGGCAGGTGCCTAGGTCAATGTGGGTGTAAGCGGACAGGACTGTTCTGCTCCACTCTAGGGAATTTTCATATTTCTCAAATTATTTTTTTTCAGATACTTCTAGTGATCAGTTATTACAAAAAAAATATTGAAATTCAAATCAAAAACTTTGGCGCGAAAACACGAAATCTCAATAAGACAGCGCTTGTGACGTTAAGATTTTGTAAACAACAAATACGCAGCAAACGAACTCCTGCTAACGCAGTGCTATTTTTGTGTTATTCAAGTGTGTTAAAGTTTGCTTTTTGTGAAAATTGTCGCAAGGGATGAAGAATATTGTAAAGGACTGCTTTTGTATTTTTTTTTTATTTGCAAGTTTTCTATTGACAGGTTTGTTTACAGAATCGTGACGTCAAAAAAGTAGCCATCATGAAAGCATTGTTTTGGCGGGAAATTTTTTATTTCAAATATAGTAATACTTTTTGGGTAACAAGGGCGGTATCAGTTAAATAAAAACTGGTCATATAAATATTGTTGCAGTATAAACTATCGAAATTTGGAAAATTTTATTTCACTTGCAAATTCCCTATTCCAGTCTCACTGCTCGAACCGGCTGAAGAGACAGAAGGTATTAATTTATATAATATTTTGCATCATTACATGCATTTTCGCTTATTTTTCTCTAGTATTACACTTCTCAATGTGGTAATATTTTTCTCATTGGAAGAACAGCCACAATTTACTATATTCAGCCTGGACCTTCCACAGCTACTGACTCTGACAAAAAAAAAACATTGTTTTTCACTTACCACTAGCGCAGAGACCGCTTATCATAAAATCAAAAATGAATAGTGCATTTTGTAGGAAATTTTATTTACTTCAATTTTGTAGTGAACGCTTATCTTTAAAAAACATTTAGTTTTTGAGATATAAGCGAAAAACTGAAAAAAGTGCTGAAAAATTCAGATTTTTTGCGTTTTTGGCTATGAAGCCAATTTCCTATAAGGCAGCAAACCATAAATTCGGTTTCAGCACCCTCGAAAACATATAAAACCGTTGAAATTTTTTTTTTCGCAGTTTTGTTACGAAAACGGCAGTTTTAAACACGCATTTACTGGACTATTAAAACCCGTCTGCGATTTGAATGCGACCGTCTGCCAAGGTTTTCTTTTTTAACTTTGGTTAGTAACATATTTGGTAATATTTTGACACAAAAATAACAGTGGTAGTTGATGGCGTTTTTTTAAGTTTTCAAAAAAAATTAAATCTGATAAAGCGACCACTTACGCGCAGCAGACGAACGGTTTTGAAATCACCATGTGAGGTAGTACTGACATGTCAATCCAACCCTTTGGTAACTTATGAGGTAGTTGTTTTTACTGCCAGCTCTTGGACTAAATAGGAAGGCTAGTGTTTGTTTACAATTTAGGTTAGTGAATGTCATTTACTGCCACTTGGATTTGGAAATGGTGTAGGTACTCGAATCTGTAAGGCAAATCTCCGATGGAATGTCAAGAAATATTCACTCTCCCAACTTTAATTTTCTTGGCCGTATAGTTTTGCCCGAAGGGATTCATACCTTTACCTATTGACAAAAATCAAAGGAATTCGTTAATGGCTTTGACCTCGGGACAAGCATGAACTCAAAAGTTTCCTTGGGCATTGTAGATACTAAAGACGTTTTGTAAAAGGATTTACTGAGGTAGCATAAGCTCACTGAAGGAAAAGCTAATTCTGATTGAACTACCGACTGTGACATTGAGAAGCTAAGGCTATCTTCACGTACATACATACATCGGAAATTTATTTTAAACACAGACACGAGCAACACCAAAATCGGAGCTATGGAATAAAACCATTTTTGAACCCAAAGGAAATCCGAAAATCCAGACCAACCTGGCATGACATTTTACCTAGAGCCTTCTGATTACCACTCGTGCGTAAGATTTTGAGCAGCTTCATCTGCGAAAAACTTGGGTAAGTGGACGTTTTTGCGATAATAATCATGGAACATTCGATTTTCACGGAACACATTGACACAATTTCCATTTGTCGGGTAAAAGGAGCACTGTAGCATTTTCAATTTCTTGGCTAATATGCTACTTTGTTTTGCTCTGGTGGATATGATTCCATATAGAACTATAAAGAAATAAATGAATAAACGTCTATCTTTTCTATACCCAGATTTTGTTACTTTAAAGTACAGTCTTGTAATGGAAGTTTTTTGGTTCAGGTTTGCAATTGTAGTTAATTGATCTAGGAAGGTTTGATTCAGTCCGGCAGGGCCCGCTGTTATTGATTAGAATCTTATAAAAGGAAAGAGTACCATCATCTCTAGTTGGCAAATCCAATCAATATAATCTGAGGTTATGATAGTTGTTGTTGTTTACTTTTTTCGATTTTTCAGTTTCATTATACATCTGTCATTGAACAGCTGTCGCTGTCTAGGCGTTTTCTTTAAGACCTGTTCTACTTTTTGATATAAAGTTTGTTTTTTATTTAAAGATAATTCCCCAAGTCATCATTCCCCCTACATAAAAAATTTGAAAGCATTGACAATTTTACATTGTATTGCCAACATAATGTCATTTTGACTTTTATCTTAAAAAAAAACAGATTTTAGGTTCTATAGGCAATTTTCAACATTCACCGGTTATCTGGAGTCATATATACACAACCCACTTTTCAGTTCGTATTTTTGGGATGAAACTTAACACGCCCTTTTCTATAATTTTCATCAATGTCAAAATTAGAAGTTTGACAAATGGAAGCCCTCTTTCCAAATTTAAAAGGAAGAATCTCCCCTTTTGATATTGAGACCTGATACTGTGAGGTCGGTCTTGGCCCTAATTATTTTTGGGCAAGACTTTTTGGAATTTTGTGCCAGGGAACTCAAGTTTTAGACTAATTTCTTGTTGATCATTGTCTAGAGTTGTCCCTTGGTCATTTTGGATTTTGTTCCGGTAAGTTTTGAGATTTTCTTCAGGATGGATTATTAACCTACAACACGTGTTTCATTTCTTCAATAGGATCGTTCTGAGCGGCTTTTGGAAGTTTAAGACTTCACTTTTGGCCTAGAGCATCCCTCAGTTAGAGGTGAGATTATTTCTAATGTTTAGGGCTCGATCTGTTTTTTTTTACACGAACATCGTTATAGGGTCCTAGGCTGTATTTAGAAGATTCTAAGCTGTATCAAGAGAGATTCTAGGCTGGGTCTAGATTAATCTTAGTTGAAGCTTTTGTAGCTTCCCTTCAGCAACCCTTTTTGTACCACTTTGATAGAACCACTTTGAGGTCTACGTTAAACAGATAAAACGTAGGACTCACTCACCATACCATAGTCTGTAACAAACTTAGAACTGCTTACTGCTTCTGTCTGGATCTACAGTGAGACCAAACATGTAGATAACCTCAATTTAGGAACTTCTGAGTTTATACATACATTTGAAGATAACTAAAACTTGTATACATATAAGTTGCACTTTTTACTATTTAGGCAAATCTTATATAGGTAAATCAACTGACACTGAATTACGTCAGTACGTGCCCCTTAAATAAAATTCTAGAATTCTACCCTGAGGTTGCCCTAATAATAATTTTTACCTTTCTGGTGTTAAATTTGCCTCTTGGTAGAGTGTAACTGAAATTGTGGGCTTAATCTTTCACAAGTGTAAAAAAACAGTTAAAACTGTTTATTTTAAATTCATATAAAAATTATTTACATTCATATTTTTTTTTATAATCAAATATTTATAAATTGGACAAGCCATAATCTATACACATTTTTAATAACGTCCTGGCTATCCCTATTTAATATTGTAATTATGTTCAATAAAGAAAGCCAGATACATTATTGTACCTAATTAGTTGTTTTATTGCTAAGCTCCCTAATTGCACAGGTTTTTTTTATGACATCATTAAGTAATCTTCCTAGTTAAGTCACAATAACTTGGTGGCGCCCAGAGGTAAGATGTATACAAGGAACCCATAAACCCATGATGCTGACTAGCCGTCCGCAGTATAATTAGGCAATTACCAAATAAGTACATTATAGCACATGATAGGTAAGCATATTTATGAACAGTAATCACATTGTCCCACAAGAGTATGGCGGCTTACGACAACAAGAAGAGAGAAAATTTTTAAATTATACGACAAAAAATAACATTTTACATGCGTGCAAATTGCACCCAATTTTAAGTTGACTGTGAAAACATATTTTGAAGAAATTCCTGGTGAAATAGTCCTGGAAGAGTAGAACTCAATATGGTAACGGATGTTTTTGGGGATTTGGCCCCTCTCGCTGTTTATACGAGAAAGCTGTGTATAGATTCATAAATACATACATATATCCATATTATTATTTACATCTTATTTAAATGCGAAATGCTATTGAAAATAGGACAATTTTATATACATAAAGTTTGTTTCGCCAGGGTTTGTACTTGCCACCAGCATTTGCCTTCCTTGTTTAACAAATAAAAATTGACTGAAACAAATCAATGACGTCATGCATTTTAATTTGTCAAAAAAATTGAATGGTGTCATATAAATTAATCTACGACAACCCTTTTTTTGCAAGTTTCAAGGTCAAGTATGAACCCTGGTGAAACGAACTTTACGTATTTTCAGAAATTAGTTTGTTAGTAGCTAATTGTTTGTAATTAAACAAAAATTCAATACGAAATGATATACATATGTGCTTCAGCGAATACTTTATATAAACATATGATCACGTTGTTTTTAACATTAGTTCACTCTTGACAGAAATTTACTGGTTGCCATGGACTGTTTCAGCAAGTAGCCTGATGTTTCCGCTAGTCTGATCCAAGAAGCGTCTACAATTGCGAAGAAATTGGAACATTGGAACTGCATTCAGATCGAGGGAGCGAAATTTAAATCACGATTATTCTAAAGACTTTATAAACTACTGAGCATTCCCAAGACCAGAAATACAGCATTGCTTCCACAATCAGATACCATGTTTGAGAGGTTCAACAAGAAGATCGAGGAACATCTCTCTAAAGAAGTTGACTAGCATCAAGACGATTGGGATGAGCATATACAGTCGTGAGCATTAAAAATAGAACACCCGATTTTTCCTATTGCAAAACGGGCTCATTAGCTACACCGTCGGCAATGACAAGGATTGTCATGTTTGACAAGAAATCCGTTGTACAGAAATTACTGATTTACCCAAAATAGCGAAAAATGACAAGACCTGTCAGTCGGGTGTCCCACTTTTAATGCTCAAGTACCTGTATAGCATATGGGTCAGTTGTGCATAATACAACACCAGCCAAGGTGATGTTTGAAGAGACACTTGGTGTTCACGTCACCAGATATCACCGACATGGAAGTCAAACGCTTTGCAGACGATTTGCGGAAAAGGTTGCTTGACATACATGAAATAGAGAGGGAACAAAGTTCACAAGTGACCGAATGGAAATGAGATATAAGGCAAACATTGCAGATTTCCAGAAGAATGACAGAGTTTGAGTTTATAATCCTAAAAGGAATAAATGTAGATTTCCGAAGCTAGCACCAATATGGGAACGAGATTACACCTTACACCACTATGAAATGTATTATTTTATCTTAAGATCCGACGAATTATATAAAGACACGAAATACTATAAAAACAAATCAAATATAGTCTATATGAAAAAATACAATTCATTGAACTCAATCAACAGTAAGTGATTTTTGTTTCAAATGTTAATAGAAATAACACCCCATCAAAATATTCACTTACCGTATTATTTTCTGATGCTTCTCTACAAGTTTCTTAACATTGAACAACCGTATCTTTTCCTCATCATTATTTGTGAATACTTTACGAATACGGATTTGTAAAATTTGAAGTTGAGCATTAATAAAAATTATTAAAGTTTGTGGAGTTAAACGTGAAGCAATATTCAAGAAATACCCCAATGTTACCATTATTATATTTGCTAATATTACCACACCATCGTGGTTGATTTCATCAAAAGGAAACCAAATGTCATACATGAAACCTTCTCCTTCTAGAAATGAATGGGTTAGGTATTTGAACATGTTAGCCGCTACAAACATTCCAGCTGACAAAAATACAGCTAATGCTTGAGAAATTGACATAAATTTGTAATAGGTAACTTGACTTAAATAAGCTCCTTTAATATCTTTATCGGGAGAGTTTAGTGCTGTCTCTTCCTCCTTCATTACTTCGAAAAATAAGAAAGGAATTCCATTTTTGACAAAAACTAAAATATTGTAAATTGTCATTGAAACGATAATTGCAATGGTGAGACTGCCAAAAATTTTTGCCGGGGGAGCGTTGAAAAAAATATTCTCCATGAATCTGACAATTGTTGACATTGTTAGAATACCAAATACTGCTTGGACTATCACAGAATAATATTTGTAAAATTTCCAAACCATCATATTTTCCGTGAACGATATTTTCCAGAGACCAGAAGCTATCATAAAGATACGCGTTATATTAACTATACTATGCATATTGGATATAGGGTTAAACTCACTATACTATACCAGAAATGTGGCATCAAGCCATTTTATATTGAAATCTGGTTCTTATTTAATATTTATTAATATTTTAATTAGTCCAAAACTGAACCTTAAATTTAGTTTTAATTACCTACTTCGCGGCAATTATGTGGATAGTTTTCTAATATATATATTTAGGTTTGACCTTTCCGAAAAACTTCTTTCTAGTTTGATAACTTCGCTTTTGGTCATGAAACATTATAACTCTTCAACTTATTATGAATTAGTTAATTATGTATATTTTGTCAATAAATTAATCAAAAAGTACCTATCGTCTGGGGGCCAGCAACTGTTTGGAGTCATCTGGCAAAAGCTGGTAACTTTTCTGCATATATCACTAGCAAAGTAAATGACCTCTAGCGCGCGCAGTTTCAAAGGGTGTATCTGCGGCAACATCCCACACATGTAAAATAATCATTAAAAACAATTAATACCGCAAAAGCTGCTGATGTTCTTAATTTTTTTAACAAACGAAAAAACGTAATCAGCTGACTTTCAAGTAAGGGATTATGTCTCAGCTTCTCATGTGAAGAAATAAAAAAAAAATGCGCTGATTTTCCCTTTTTTACCTGTCACCTGTAATTGCGGCTGCAGTTGGGAGGTCAATTTATGGTGAGCTACCCTGTAACTGTGCCTATCTGAGATAAATTAAGGCATGGAAAAAATTATTCAACTTTGCATAAAAAGCTCACTCCACTTACTATTAATGTCAATGTGTTAGTCAACAGTATATACTTGAGTGGCGATAACAAAGAAGGTAGGTATCTAAAAAAAAAAAATTGCAGTGACAGGTCGTTCAAAAAAAAATAACCCAAAAATGAGGCCAGCCACTGAGCGAAAATACTCATAAGCCTGCTGCAAAATGCAAATGTCTACAGCATGTAAAACCCCCTTTATACCGGTCTGGCAAGTGAACATCTTACGGGCCACTTTTAATGCAATAGAATGAAATGTCTGGAGATAGTATCAGGTAACATAGAGAACGAAAACGATTTCCCCTGTTCAACCTCCAGCATTCAGGCCTATGATGTATCATTTTCTGTTATGTTAACAGCAACGTTAAGTTATCTGTCACTGTTTATTCTACACATAAAAATAAACAGGTATAGATTTTGAGCTTTAACACAACTGTTAAATAACAGGAGAGGATACATCATAGGCCTGATTCTCAGCGCTCCGTGCTGTAGGTGGAACAGGGGAAATCGTTGTCGTTCTCTATTTAACCTTATATTTTTTGTAGGCATTTCATTCTATTGCATTAAAATTGGCCGGTAAGATGTTGACTTGCCAGACCTGTATATAATTTTTTAAACATAATTAATTTCAGGAATAGGAGGTACCATCGACACCAAAAGTAACTGGGACAGCATCATATTAGCTCTGGTACTATTAAATGATTTTAGATGTCAGGTATTTGTCAAACTATGAATAATTTTAGGTTTATCTAGGTTAACTTGGAATAGCCCAGGAGATTAATATGAATTATTTTTCTCCCAGGTACTTCTGGTGACTATGGTACCTATAAAACCGTAACAAGCTATATGAAACAAATCCTAAGCAGCCTGAAAAATTATGACGTGACTTAGAGGATACGGGGTGGGAAACAGAGGAGCCACCTAAGGGAATATAATTCTAAAAGGGTAATATTCGCCTTTATTTGAATTCAAAGAAAGATAGAGGAAGTTCTACATAATACAGGAAGGATGTTCCAATAGAAAGTGGCCTATTTTTAAGGTTTATGATTTTTAAACTAGGTGTGCTACCTGCGGTTTGCACCATTCAATTTTTCTTAGTGTGAAGTTTTTTAGTTGGTCGCAAAGTTGTGGACACCTATACAGAGCAAGTAAAAAAATACAGTTTTTCAATATCGAAATTCTCAATTACTTTAGAGACAATACTCTGTATTTTACAATGTTAAATAAGAGAGTTGTGTCGGTACCTATGTACAGGTGCCTGGTTATAATTTGACACCTCACCTGTAGCCTTCAGCTTTACCTACAAGTAGATGAACCACAATTTTCCGATTCCAGAAATATATAATTTTTCTATGTTTGGTTGAGCCTTCAATATATTTGGATCTAAAAATTTCAACACATGCCTCTTTTTCGCACTTGCTAGGCAAATAACTATTATAGCATGATCTTCAGCCCCGCGTATACATTAACCCATCATTAACCGAACGAATTTTAACTGTTCGTTTGCTTTGGTTTGCTTGATTTTTATTTTGACATGTCGCTTAATTTTCAATTATCTCTGATTGTCATTAATGTCATTATATAAGTAAATCGAAAATTGTGAAATGGCTTCAGTATATTATTTATTCGATGATGCCATACACGTTGCTGAGTATATTGTTGAAAAATATTCGTAAGCTACATTTATTTCCATTTCAATCATTATGGTGGCTTCTTTTATAGCCAACAAGATACAAATCTAAAAGTCAATCATTGTGCAGCCATAATTATACAAAGAAGCTACAGGGGCTATGTTGTAAGGAAACTTCACAGGCAAAAATTGAGGGCTGTGATAATTTTACAGAAATACATCAGAGGCTGGCTAGTAAGATACCATATGCCAGATTTCTTGCAAGAAGTTTATGATAGAAAATGCTTAAATTTGTACAATAAAGCTGCCACGAAAATTCAGTCAATGTGGAGAGGTGTTTTAGTGCGTTTTGAAATTGATATTAAGCAAATGATGAAAGATAAAAAATTATTAATGGATAAGATTCAAGGATTACATATTTCTGATAGTTTAGATTCTCAAAAAAAGAGAGACAAGGAACCTACAATAGAAGAAACCGATGAAGATGAGGATATGGTCGGTAGTGGTACTCTTTTTGGTCAAAATTCATTTTTACAAGCTCAAATTATCAAAATGATGTTTAATAGACATCATTTGCTTAGTACCGAAATGCGCCGAGGGGTTCTGGATACAACTGAGTAATAATACTGATGTTATTTATATTTTCACTCCCCTAATCAAAATGTTCAATTTCTTATGAAGCCTTTTTTCCAGGGAACTAAAACAAATCGAAAAAATCCTCAAAACACTACCCTGGAAAAGTTATATGAATAATAAGCGAAGCCTGTATTATAAATATAGAAAATATGAGAAATGTCAAAAGCCAGCCTATCACTATAACTTCACAGATCCAAAAATGAGAAAACAAGAGGACCTCAATAGGCTTAGAGACAAAAGTCATGATTTAAAAGAAGAGTATATGGACAATTATGTTGAAGATACTAAAAAACCGTAACATTATCTTATTTTTGATAATTGATAGGTACTAAATATATTTGTTCTAGATTTATTCTTCACTCAAAAGTCACGGCTCTGCCATATGAACAAAGTATAATGCGCCAAGGACAATATACTAAAAGAAACTCAGAAATTACCAGAACAGAGGACAAATCAAAAAATATCAGTGGGGAGGACTTTATTTTAACACTAAGGGATATTGTTAGAAAATCGAAAATTCCGCCGTATTATGTTGACTTTTGGTACGAGGAATGTTGGGCGCACAATATGGTGGAATGAGTTTTTAAAAAGTACCTCCTACCTACCACCTATACTTTCAATGAATATTTATTACAAAGATGTATATTGAAATTGAAAAAAAAAAAATACAATAAAATCATTGATCCCGACTTTCTGTTTAAAAGAAAACTGTTTTTGGTAATATAAAATGACTAACTAGACTAACTATTTGGGTAGTCTAGTCAGCAGAAATATTTATTTCTGCTATGACCACTATATTGATACTGCAAAAATCACAACCTGGTAATGGTAGGACACGAAAGAAGCAAACGTATTTATTCTCACGTTACTTTTTTTTATTATTAAAGTGACTAGTTCCGGGAACAAGAGTGTTTACATCCTATCATAAGGCTATTTTGACTAATACTTAGAATGAAATTCTAGACTGATGACTGTTTTCTCTTCGACTTTCGACTCAAGACTATCTTTCAGAGATAGTCCTTCTACTCAATTTACTTGAAAAGTTTGAGTTTCTCCATTTGATCCTAATGAATCCGCATGATTTCGATATGTTGACCTAAAGTCCTCTACCACTATTTCTAAGAAATATAATTATCTGTTCTACCGGAGATGACGCAATTTTCTTGATTATTAGGGTCAACGAATGTCGTAAAAATGTGAGGCCACATCTATCAAAGGATGCCGAAACCCGTGTCGGCCATGAATAATGTTTTCTAGATGAATCTGTTACTTGTTCCCCAGAATTTAATTTCAATTTTTACAAATGCATATTTATCGCTAAAAATACCTGCTCGTTTACCTGGGCTAGAACTCAAAAGAATAGGTATATTTGCTCTTTCTCTATTGACGTCTCCTTTCTATTGATTTAGATAAGAAAGAAGAAGACAGCCAGTGCCTTAGCGATAGGGATAACGATCCTTATCCGTTACAGAGTTACAGCCCTGGTTTCCTTCATTTACCCATTGGTTCTTCTGCTTGTATTGACACAGCTCTGATCTTTGGTCTGGAAACTAACTTTTAGGGCTTGGATTAACGCTTCGCTGCTACTTGATGGTTTGTTTATGAGCAACATTATTTGTACCTATGCGTCCATATGCCTTACTGTATTTATAGACCGTGAGATAGGGACTGTTTAGTGGAGTATTTTTTTTTTGTCTGGCATTTTGAGGGGTGAATCTGGCTAGTAAGCTGATGCGAATATGGGTGATTTTAATGCCTGCCTCCCGTTCGAAAATTTGCAGAAAAAAAAAATCCTTTGCATGAAGAATTTTTTTTAATAATCTCAAATTGTCAGGCTTTCAAATGAGAGATTGGCATTGATAAATATTTCACCCATAAAAATACCAGATGCTTTTCAATGGCTGAAAAGTGGCGAGGGGTGTCAACTTACAAGAGAAAAGTATAGCACTTTCCGCATTTACTTTCTGTCTGGTAATCGAGAGAATGAAAGATTTTGTTGTGAAAATAACGCTGAAAAATTGCCAGACGATAATCACAGTTCGAAATCGAGCAAATGCGCAAAACATTCTGTAGACATTTCGAACAGGGAACAGGCATTAAAACCACCTACATTCTCATCAGTTAACTAGTCACATTCAGACCTCAAAATGCCAGACAAAAAAAAATGACTCCACTAAACAGTCCTTATCTCAGGGACAACGACGCTCTAAAGCATCAACAAGCGATTCATAATTTAACTGGGATCCAGGCGAAAGAGTCTCGAATAAGTCTAAGGCTAAGCACATAGTGGAACGGCGAGCAGAGCAGCGGGCAGCGCGGAGAGCAGAACGTCAATTGAGCAGAGAGTGGATGAGAGAATTGTATGCACATAGTGGCGTGTTAATACTCGAGTGAAAAAAATAAAAATGAATAATTTGGTTTCAACCGAAACGTCGTCTTTAAAAATTTTGGTATTTAAAGAGAAGACAGAAAGAAAAAAAGAAGGTGTAGTGCACACCATATAAACAGAAGCAAACTTCGATTAGGCGAATATCATCATTTATATGAGGAATTACGACAACATCTAGAAAAATTTCACTCTTATCTTTTAATGAATAAACTTTTGATTACATTTTGGAAGAAATAGAACAAAGACTGGTAAAAAAATGGACTAACTTTACCATAATCCCAATTGGTCCAGCAGCAATCAATTAATAATATAATACATTTTTCACTTGATTGTTGACTTCATTTCTCTTGGTACATCATCCCTTAACTTTTCTAATATGTATTGGTTATGATGTTGAGTATCTTTTTGGTTCCACAATAGATTTTTAACAAAAATACTACTTATTAATTGTTCAACGTCTATTTTTACAACACAGAGACCAACGAGCAAAGTAGAAAAATCAAACTTGGTTGAACGCGTCGCTTTGCTCGATATTAACAGCGCTGCTAAATCTCCGCACTGCTCTTCACTATTTGTCAAACAATTTAATCTCGTGTATTAGTTTTCGCTGCTTTGCTCTCCTCACTACTCACTACTTTGCTCGTCGCTCCACTATGTGCTTACCCTAAGGCAGGGCCACGCAATGCCACAATCGAACCACCTGACGAAAAGTTCCAACTTCCTGATGAACAGTTCCAAGTTCCCGATAAACACTACCAGCTTTATGACTAACACTACCAACTTCTTCATACCGACCTACTTCTTTCATTGGATTCTTGAATTTATTATTTTGATTTTCCAGGATTTTCTCGAGTCTGGTTTGTTCCTCAGATATCACGGTTTGCATCCATTCTAGCTGGTATTTAAAATTTTCCTAAAGCCTATCCTGTTCTTGTCTCCAGTTTTCTTGTTGTTGTGGCTGTTCAAGCCGGTCCTGTTCCTTTTGTGTTTGGTTTCTGCATTATTGATTTTCATTCAGTCTTTCGTCTTCTTGCTGTTCAAGAAGTGCTGCAACAAAGTTCTATGACTCTGTGAACTTTTTTCATGTCAAAACCAGTTGAAGTCACCATTCTTTTATCACTCAGCACGCGAATGGCATTCTATAGAAGTTTCTACAATTGTCCAAAAACATCCGTTTGTGATATTTTTTTTTGATGTCGAAATTAGTGATGAAGTCACCTCTTCTTGGATCACTCATGTTTTCCAAATGGAATTCTATAGAAGTTACTATAATTTTCTAGATGCATTTGTGAGCTTGTTTTCGATATGTAAACCAATGATGAAGTCACTATTCTTGTATCGCTCACGGTTTTCAAATGGAATTCTATCAGATGTTTAGAATTTAATAGATAAATCTGTTTGTGGGCTTGTTTTCCGATTCCAAATCCGGCTATAAATTCATTATTTCGGTTCAATAAAAGTTCACAAGAAACATAATTTTTCTTGCTAATAATTCCAATGATTAGCACAAAGTAGTTCATGTAGTTATTTTGTCAATTATTTCACTGAATTATTTAGCTGAAATTAATGAACCGTCGTCCTGCTAAATGATCCTACTGATTAGCTCAAGTTATTGCACAAATTCTCTTGCTAATAATCTCACTGCCGACACCAATTTAAAACGCACTTCAAATTTTATTGAAAATGACTTTGTAAAAATTTACTTATCAAAACGTAGACCACAAATCTCGTATGTAACCTGACTGACTACAACAATACTCGTATTTAGACAAACTTTAACCGTGTAACTGCGCGCTATTCATAGCCGACATATTGAACTCGGGATTTATCTAGAAAAACCCGTCGCAATAGAATTTCTTGAATAGTTGCGCTCGACGCCAACAACTCGATTCCTAGAATCTTCGACGGGTTGTCGACGTAGTTTCGGTGCAATAATAAAGAACAGAGTTGAGAACGGGTAGAATGGACAAGAATCACATCTGCTATATGTTAATCTTGCCTCCTCATTCAGGAACCAAACAAATTGCCTTGAGATTTCTCTAAAGTTAATGTCTTTTCGAAATTCATCCAACTTCTTTCTAACACTTATCTCACCCACTCAACACTTCCAAAGCATCGCATAATGTTGTCTCGTCAGTGTATGTTAGAACGTTCCTTGCCTTCGTTTCATACTTTGAGGTTATTCTTTTTATCCATCGATCCTCAGGCATTTGGGCTATTCATTGCCATTTCAGTTTAGACACCCTTTCTACAACATTGCACATCTTGGTTTTTTCGTTGATCCAGGGTCTTCTTTCACGGTCATTCAAGTTCATGCCGAGTATCTGCCTGTCCTGGACTCGCAGTCATGGTGCACCGGCAGGATACTTTTCACTCTCTTTTAATTAGCCATAATTACACAATACACAATACATAATATTAAAAACAAATGACACAATAGTTACACAATAATTGCTATAATCTCTTGATAAAATTGGTCTATTTCAAACTAGTTTTTAAAGTGAAAAGAGAAGTAAGAAAGTGTGACGTAAAAGCTCCAAAACCTCCTGCATTCATCTTAGATTCGCTAGTGCGACATTGTGTTGATAACGAACCAAGCAAATGAATCTTACGAGATGGTAATCCTAACAAAGCGCTTCATTAACAACATAGCGATAAGTGGGACTTTGCCAAGACCTATTTCAAATTTGTGAAACTCATACCATCAGGGTTGAAACGAAGAGACTGGGCAGGGCATGGCACTAGAAAGAAATTCCTGGTCACGAAAATCGAATTTACCAAAAACAACGAAATGCATACCCGACTTTGGCCAATCATTGGGTACGTAAAACCTATATAGCAATATGGCCAATCGGGTGGCCAAAGCTGGAAATGGATACAAGTGTCAGCAGAAGATATCTCGGGCTAATTGATGATGATACAGTACTGAATATAAAATGTGTGGTCATAGTATTGGAACCGCCAAAAATGTTGATCGCAAATAAACGAGCTCCAAAAACTAGGGTCTACCCTACGTTAGGCGCGAGGTCTACAATTGTAGACCACACATATTTCAACGACCATAGATTCAAAAGGGTGTTGGTTGCGCATGCGCGTAATAGAGTAGTTGTCGATTACACCATATTCTATCGTTCTAGTATGCGAACGGCAGCGAAGCAACTTGTTGCTTGTTGGATTCTTTAAAATAATGAGAGTGGACTGTATTATTTATATATTTACATTTATTTACACACACGACTATTTACACTATTTACAATTTGCATTTTCTCGTTTTTGTTTACGTTTTTAGACTTATAGAGTCTGTAAAAATGGTCATATAGGACCTGCCCAGAATTATCTGGTGCGCTCGGTGAGGTTCGATTCGACACTGACTGTTCCCGTTGGTTCACTCGCGTAGATGCCGGAAGCCACTTTACCAAAAACTTTTGACAAGTGATTTTTGACACTGTTTGACACATACGCGCACACTTCCGGTGCATACCGGGAAAATTTGAATTTTAAATTTACTGTTGGAATATTGTTTCCAACATTGCTAATTTTTAAGCACGACTAAACACGATTGGTCTACGATTGTAGACCGCGCGCCCATTTGCGTT